CCGCTTCTCCACTGAGTCGTCCTGTTCCCTGTCCCTAGCCCCATCTCTCTCCTCACCGGGTCTCTAGCTTGGGTCAGTTAATGCCAAAACACACTCTTTCTCCTCGGCTCTTGTCCTTCCCATTTACCATCCCCCTTCCCGTGCCCCTCGCTTCCCTCTTGCCTTTAGCAATTCTCCGAAATGCCTGCCCCACCGATATACCTTCCTAACCATCCTCTTTTGCCTCTGGCGCTCCAAGGCCTTCTCTTAACAGCCACGTTTTTTGTTTTTGTTTTTGTTTTAATTTTTTAATGTTTGTTTTATCTTTGAGAGAGAGACAGACAGACAGAGCGTGAGTGTGGGAGGGGCAGAGAGAGGGAGACACAGAATCCGAAGCAGGCTCGGAGCAGCCCCGATGGGGGCTGGAACCCCACAGACTGTGAGATCATGACCTGAGCTGAAGTCGGTCGCCCAACCGACTGAACCACTCAGGCTCCCCTAGCAGCCACGTTTTTATGTGTCTTCTTAGAGGCCTCTATTCAAGGTCAGGAACTGAAGACGTTTTAAAAAATGTATTTAAAAAACACCATGTTTTTGTGCTTTGAAAACATTAAAAAAAAATCTTTTTTAGAGAAAACTTAAAAATATGGAGAATAGATTAGCAAACACTAGTGACTAGGTTTGCCACGTGTATTTCAAGCTTTCAATTTTTAAAAAATACATTATTTATTTGTTTTAAACAATCTCTATGCGTCATGTGAGGCTTGAACTTGTGTCCCCAAGGTTAAGGAAGTAGCATACTATAGGGACTGAGCCAGCCAGGCGTCCCCCCCTCCTTTTTTTTTTTTAAAGTAGACTCCATGAGAGTCTTGAACTGGGGCTTGAACTCATGCCCCTGAGAGGTTAAGAGTTGCATGCTCTACTGACTGAGCCAGCCAGGCGCTCCTAGTTTTTGTTTTTATTTTTTTAAGAAAGCTGTTGAAGTGAAATTGCCCTTAGAGGCAGGGTCCCCAGTCCCATTTGCTTCCCTAAGCAACCCTTAGTTTGGACATAGTTTCAGCAGTTTTTTATTTTGTTTTAGTTTTATGGAGGTGTAATTGACAAACAGGAATTGTGGAAGTTTTAAGTGTACACTTGATGTTTTGATACAGGTGTACAGGGGCGCCTGGGTGGCGCAGTCGGTTAAGCGTCCGACTTCAGCCAGGTCACGATTTCGCGGTCCGTGAGTTCGAGCCCCACGTCAGGCTCTGGGCTGATGGCTCAGAGCCTGGAGCCTGTTTCCGATTGTGTGTCTCCCTCTCTCTCTGCCCCTCCCCCGTTCATGCTCTGTCTCTCTCTGTCCCAAAAATAAATAAACGTTGAAAAAAAAAAAGTTTAAAAAAAAAAAATGATACAGGTATACATTGTGAGATAATCACATCCAGCACCTCACACAGGCACCATTTGCTTTTTTTGTTTTCTTTTTTTCGTTTTGAGGGAGAGTGAGCACTAGGAGGGGAGGGGCGGAGAGAGAGGGAGAGAGAGAATCACAAGCATGTTCTTTGCTGTCAGCACAGAGCCCGATGCAGGTCTCAATCTTAGCAGTGAGATCGTGACTGGAGCTGATATCGAGTCAGATGCTTAACGTACTGAGCCACCCAGGTGCCCTTTTTTTGTTTATTCTGTGGTGAGGATATTTAAGATCTACCCTCTGAGCAAGTTTCAGAGTTACAATACAGTAATGTTAACTGTAGTCACAGTGCTGTATGTTATATCTCCAGAACTTACTCATCTAGCGCAACTGAAAGTTTGTACTCTGATGGATATGTCTCCATTTTTCCCAACCCCCAAACCCTGGCAGCCAAACCATTCTACTCTCTGCTTCTATGATTTGGGCCCTTAGATACCACATGTTAGTGAGATCATGTAGTATTTGTCTTTCTGTGTCTGGTTTATTTCACTTAGCATGATATTTTCCAGGTTTACCCATGTTGTAGCAAATGGCAAGATTTCATTCTTTGTGGATGAGTCACATTCCATTGTGTATATGTACCACATCTTGTATCCCTACATCTATCGTTGGACACTTAGGTTGTTTCCTTGTCTTGCCTATTGTGAATAATGCTGCAGTGACCATGGGAGTGCAGATCTCTCTTTCAGGGAGTGATTTCATTTCCTTTGGATAATATAACAAGATGTGGGATTGGTGCATCATGTGCTAGTTCTATTTTCAATTTTTTGAAGCGCCTCTGCATTGTTTTCCATAATGGCTGCCCCAATTTACGTTCTCACCAACAGTGCACAAGGGCTCCCTTTTCTCCGTATCCTCACCAGCACTTATCTTTTGCTTTTGGATAATGCTCATTGTGACAGGTGTGAGGTGATAACTCATTGTGGTTTTATTTGCAGTTCTCTAGTGATGTTGAGCACTTTTTCATGTACCTGTTGGTCATTTGTATGCTTTGAGGGAGAAATTTAGGTTCTTTGCCCATTTTAAGTTGGGTTTTTGGTTTTTAACCTGTGGAGTTGTGTGAGGTCTTTATATATTTTAGATCTTGATTCCTTATCAGATACATGGTTTGTAAATATTTTCTCCCATTCCTTAGGTGCCTTTTCACTCTGTTGATTATTATTTTGCTGTCAACACATTTTCTTATACCTTTACATACCCACTAGAGTTTTTGTGTTTAAAAGTCTGCATACCGTACATTATGTACTATTGATATTCTGCACTTAACAGTTTCATTCAACCTTATAGCTTTGTATTGCCTCTGACATTGATGTGGTTCATTTCTTTCAATCGCTGTGACCGTGACTGTTCCCTGATAGTAGATACTGAAGTTTCTGATTTTGGGGTGTTTTTTTGTTTGTTTGTTTTGGTACACACAGCCACATGGTAACATTCTTGTGTATCTTGTTGTGTGCATTAGCAAGAGTTTTTATAGGGCACATACCTAGAATTAGGTTTCCTGACTGAATTTACAGGGCTTCAGCTCTTCCAGGTGGTGCCAGGTGGATTTCCAGAGTGACTGTACCAGTTTATACTCCCGCAGGACCCTGAGAATCTCATTGTTCTTTATGTCTTCAACATTTGATATTGCGAAGCATTTTATATTTTTCCCAAACTGTGGGGAGAGAAGTCTTGAATTTGCATTTCTCCAATTCTCAATGACGTTGAAGATCGTTTCAAATGTTTATTGGACTCTTTGATTTCATCATCTGTGACTTACCAAGTCATTCTGTGTTTAGTTTCTTAAATGGTCTTGTCCTGTGTGTGTGTGTGTGTGTGTGTTTTAAGGTATATTCTGTGTATCTTTTCTTATGTATTATGTCTGCAAATATCTTTCACTCTGCATCTTGTCTTTTAATTTTGTGTTTTGTACAGAAAAATTTTTGGAGTAAAATTAAGCAACTTCTCCTCTATGGACTGTATTTTGTGTATTTTCCTAGAATAGCTGTAATTTGAAAAAAAAATATTTAGGTCTTCTATGTGCTTAAAATATATTTTTGTTGGCCATAGGAGGCAGGGATTGAATTTTATTTTCCTAAGGAAAATCAGTTGTGTTGGTACCATTATGAATAGCATGTCATTAACATATGCATGGGTCTGTTCCTTATCTTCTTTACTTTGCTTACACTTTGCTTTTATTACCATAGCCTTACAGTAAGTCTTGATAGGTGGGAGGGCATGCCTCTGCCTACCTTAGTTCTTTTTTGGCATTGTCTTAGTTAATCGTGGATCGTTATTTTGATATTTAGTCATTTTTGTCAGATTTTGTGTTATGTCCTGTTGCAATTTTGATTGCACAGAATTAATAGGTTTATTTGAGCAGAGCTGACATTTTTATGAATAGAATCCTCCTATTTATGAATACTGTCTGTTTCTCCGTAGGTCTTTTTGATGTCCTTCAGTGAAGTTTTACCATTTTGTCCCTGGCATTTTGGACAACACTTGATGGCCATTGTTGAATGTATGGTATGTAGAGTTGTGTCCCCCATTTCATTTCATTTCATTTCATTTCATTTCATTTCATTTCATAGAGAGCGTCAGTAGGGGAGAGGGGCTAGGGGCAGAGAGAGAGAGAGAGAGAGAGAGAGAGAGAATGTTAAGCAGGGTCCATACTCAGTGTGGAGCCTGACATAGGACTTGATCCCACAACCCTTGAATCATGACAGCCCAAATCAAGAGTTGGGCGGTTAACTGACTGAGCCACTGAGGTGCCCCCCTCCCTGACTTTTTTGTTTTTAATAGTATTTCTTTTTCTATCTTTTGTGCTGCCTCCCCCTCATTGGACTTGCCAGATATTTGTTATTAGCATTCTAAAGGACCAGTGTTATTTTCTGTTTCTTTATTTTATGTATTTTAAAATGTTTACTTATTTTGAGAGAGAGA